AAGCTGCTAAAAATTAAGGAAAATATATGTGTATTCAAGGAAAGATGTATATTTTCAGTAAAGAAGGTATAAAGAATGGAAATATTTTTGTTTGGTTGGTTAAGAAAGAAAAATTTGTCCCAAAGTACTAGAAGGAAAAAAAAAGAAAGGCATGGGACAAATTCTGAATGTAAAAGAAAGTGACAGAATGTTGGTGGAAGTAAAACCCTGAGGAGTTTTGTATATGGTCAAGTTGGCTAAGATTGAAATGAATCTAATTAGGTAAATAAGTTTTAATATCAAAAGTAAGCTGGTACAAGAAGTAGAATTTGGCCTTCTCTCTTAAAAGGGATAATTTTCTTAAACTCTTAGTCGGCTCTTGATAAAGAGGTTAAAAAAGGTTTTTGGGCCGGCCCAGTGGCGTAGTGGTTAAGTGCACATGTTCTGCTTCAGTGGCCCAGGGTTCGCTCGTTCAGATCCTGGGTGTGGACATGGCACCGCTTGGCATGCCATGCTGTGGTAGGCATCCCACATATAAACTAGAGGAAGATGGGCATGGATGTTAGCTCAGTGCCAGTCTTCCTCAGCAAAAAGAGGAGGATTGGCAGCAGTTAGCTCAGGGCTAATCTTCCTTGGGGGGAAAAAAGGTTTTTATTTTTGAGTAAGTTTACCTAAAAGGCAGAAAATCTGTGTTTTGTTAAAATAATTTCCTATGTTCAAAAAGACTGAGGTCTCTCTATTAAGGTACAAGCTCCCCATAATTCATATCCTAAATGAAGTCTTTATTTTGACCTTCTTTGAAAAGTTTCAGATGGCCCCTGGGACTTCTCAAAGAAATGTGTTCTCTCTTCCTATAAAGAGGGAGATATTAATCAGGCTTGTTTGGTATGCTAAGTTGCATGGGAAGCACTGTCAAGTAAATAATGATAAACCTTCTTAGGTTATATTGTGTAGATATATATTTTTCACTATTTTAACCCTGCTACCTTGCTTCCAAAATCACAAGGGGAGAAGACCACGACTGCATTCTATTGTTTAATTGGTTTACGGATGGATCTAACTTAAATGATAAACAAGGATGTTATCAAGCTGGATATGCTGTCCACCCTCAAGAGTGCCTTCCACTTTCTCTTAATTCTGCTAACCCAGTAAAAGATTTCCTTCCATAGGCTCAAGAAATCACCACAGAGGAGAAAAAATATATATAAACGTGGCCACAAGAGAAAAAAATACTTTTGGAAACTTTCTCCCACAGTGGCTCATAAAGCCTATACTCACTGGGCTACATGCCCAAAGTATAATCTAGGGAAACTATTTCATGAACCACAAGGCCACTTTTTCCTTCCTAAGGGACCCTTTGAGGTATGGCAATTGGACTTTGTCCAAATGCCACCATCTCAAGGATGCAAATATTTCTCATAATGATCTGTATATTCTCACACTGTGTTAGGGCCTTTCATTGCAGAAGAGTGATGGCTTTAGGTAAATTATTATTGGAGGGAATAACTCCTGTTTGAGGAATTCCTACAAAGTTACACAGTGACTGGGGAACTCATTTCACTGGACAAATAATTAAATCTATTTGTAACATCTGGCCAATAGGCAGCATTTCCACTGCACTTACCATCCTTAATCCTCAGGATTGGTGGAAAGAACTAATGGCACAATCAAAACCCAACTGGCAAAGCTTTCAGAAGCATTTACTCTCTCATGGCCAAAAGCTCTTCTGCTAGTGCTCCTTAATCTTGTATCTCCACCCTTTTGGTAAACAGCTGCTGCCTCCATTTGAAATAATAATAGGACAGCCTATGCAATTAGATGAGGAAATATGTGAACAAACTTTGCTTAAGAGAGATATATAACACTGCTGTCAGGGTCTCATTGAGATGCTTAAAAGCAATGAACGGTTGGTAGCTGTTTCTTTTCACAGAGAGCTCCCTGACCTTTAAGGATCATGGACTATAATCTGGAGGATTATTTATCAGAAGAAGCATCAAATAAAAGACTCTTTGCAGCCCTGTTGGAAAGGACCATACCAAGATGACAAGAAGATGACATCTGTTGTAGATAACTATCCCAAAACTCCAGACCAGGCCTGTATTCCCAACCATTTATCCCCTCATTTAAACCTTTGTTATGCTCAAACTGTATAACTATTTTATAATTGTTCCATTTAAGGTTCAAAATACTATCATACTTAAAGAAAGTGATTGATTTGGAACAGACTGGTCTCAAAGGCCAGACATTTATCGAGTAACTCCAAATGGAACTCAATGGTTATGTGGAACAAATCTCTGGCCTTGGCTACTATCTGGATGCTAAAACACTGCACCCCAAGTTTCCCTTAGAAGCAAGAAAGGATTCACACTGAGCTAACATCTGTTGCCAATCTCCCTCTCTTTAAGGCCAGGTGGGCTCATTCAGTGTTCCACTGGTATGCCCACCAAGCGGCTATAACTGTTCCTTCTCTGGGGCTAAAAGATGTCATTATCACATATGGAAGCCCTGACTAAATTTACTCAACAAGCCCTTAACGAAAGTCAAGCAGAAATACTCTTATTAAATACTAAAATGTCTTTTATGAAAAAGGCTGTCCTTCACAAGAGAATGGCTTTAGATATTTTAACTGCTGCCCAAGGCGGTACATACACAATCACTCAAACTGAATGCCATGCTTTTATACATGATGAATCTTCCAATCTGCCATCTCTGCTAAAGCACATGAAGAAACAACTGAATGCCTTAAGCCATCCTACACCCAGTCTTGATTTGTTTGGTTGGCTCCCTTCCCATATCAGTTCCCTTTTTCCATCCAGATTGCAATTCCTATTTCTGTTACTTCTTGGCATTCTTGTACTAGTCATAACATTCAAACTAACTGCTGTTTTCTTTACTCAGTGTTGTAAGACTGGCATACAAGCTAGAGTAGTGGTTGCTCAGCAACTTGAGATGGTCGATCGATCTTATAACCCTGGACAAATTTCCTTTTCTGATAAGGACTATGCCTAAGAACTCATTTTAAACGAATGTTTTCAAATATATGGAATTATCGTTACTGTACTTGTTCTATAATTGTGAACAATGTGAACATGAGGATTCACAGAAAAGCACACGTACCATGTTTGTGCAACAATCTAAAATTAATTGAAAATTATATAACCTACGAAATGCTTCCTCTGTTAATACATATACCTCTATGCTTGTCCACTATATCTGACTATTTCCCCCCAGTGTGGACAACTGGGCAGATGAGTGAGATGAATCTAGCACCAAGGGACATGATGGACCCAGGGCAAGCAGCAAGCATCCTGGTGCTAAGGGACAATATTTGATCATCAATGCTTTCTATCGAAAGATTATAGATCAAAAGGGGAAAAAATGATAAACAAATGGCAAGTCATAGGATATATTGGAGTATATGAGGAAGCAATTTGGTGTAAAACTAATTCGGCCTGACCTTGTTTTTCCAAAAGGGCCTAACACGGCCATTGAGAATGTATTGTATATCTGCTTTAAACATTTGCTGTGTCCCAAAGACAAAAGCAAATGGCCTGAACATAAAGATGCAACTTCCCCCACGTTGGGATTTCCTTAAGGATAAGCATTTCTCCCTAGGCTAGGAATTGATTGCTGCGCCCATCCTGCTGTGTCCATCGAGACAGCAGACCTGTTACCTGCTGTGTGAATAGGTGTGCTGTGCCAGCCAGGCAATCTTGTGACTGTTGTAAACGGGACATTCTATCATACATGATGTATGCTCTTTGTTCCAAGACAGTATATAATCACTCTGCACACCCCACTTCTTTGGTGCTAGGCTAGTCCTCAGACCTGGTTCATAATAAACTCACCCCAATTTTGATTTATAGATTGGTTATGGATTATTTTCGTCGACACTTACCACTAAGAAACGGAGGTTCCTGGAAGGTGTCTCCTATTTATATACACTGGGACTTTCTGTACACTGTGACACCTTAACTGATATTCCCAAATAGCCCAGGAAGAATAAACCTGTCTCTTGGGTATTTAGCCCAAAAACTTACGCCTTCTCATTTTAGATTCTATTCCATAACACATGCCTGCTTTTGTGATATTAATGTTTTAAGGTACTTACTATCAAGGAAAATTGACATTGCAGGAAGATGGACTATGTTTTCTCTTGTGGCCTCAGGTCCCAAGAGCCTAGATCAGGGGAACCCAGGTTCAGGAGTCTTACTGCTTGGTTCAAGAAATTCCTGCAACACTGCTTCCTAAACTCATAGAAACACCTATAAAAAGAAGTGAGGAGCTTTGTCACGCATTTTAAAAAACAGAAAGGATACTGGGTGTTTGGGATTCAGAGGAACTCTCTATACTATTTTCACTTTTCTGTAAACCTAATTCTATTCTGAAATAAAAAGGTTATTTTTAAGAATCCCACCTTTAGCAATCCAGGGACCCATTGGCCATGACGTTTCATTACTATAACCTGAATGACGGCAGGTCTTAACCTCGTTCTAACTTTCTCATGCCCTATGCTCAAACTTGAAATGAGCTCATGTTTAAGTTTGGGTCGTTTTTGGGCTCCAGTCAGTGTTTCTATTTTTGACACAGTTTTCCTATCTTACTTGGTTGGGGATAGTGGGAAAAGTAATCATTGAAGTATTCCCAAGGGTCTGGGCAAACAAGGCAACAAAAACAGGAAAAGGGAAGAAACTGGACAGGGCAGGAAAACCCTCAGAGAATTCACCTCTGGGTGTTCCGGGAACAGGCGAGTCACTACGGGGCAAAGCAATATGATCGAAATTAACATTTGTGCAACAAGAGACGCTCATCTATACACTTGTGCACCAAAACAAAGGGAAACCATTAACTCCACAGCAAGTGGCAGCGCCTGAGGCCAAGCTGTACTCCCACCTGATGCGAGGAAGTTACTAGAAAGGGGTCCTTGCCCTTTGCGTTCCCCCTGCTCAGGAAAGGGGATGCGGATAGAGAGGAATGCAGCTATTTCTCTCTCAGGTGACGATGACACAGACCACACACTTTAGAAGTAAACTCTCCAAAGCACCGCCTCACGTCCCACGCTGCGCGCACGGGGCAAACACACGAGTGGCACGACGCGCGGACCCTGCGCATACGGAGAAGCGGTCGCGCACGCGACAGGGCGTACCACGCATGCGCACCTCTCCGGGGCGGGGCCCCTTCTGCCCCGGGTCAGGTGAGCGGTGGCGCGGCTGCGCGCCTTCTCGCCCCGCCCCCTGCGCTGCGCGCTCCCCGCGCGTTGCCATGGCGACCCAGCGGCCACAGCCGGCCTGCGGCGGCGCCGCCGGCCAGGTCGCCTCTGCGGATCTGGAGGCGGCGATCGTGGGGGCTCATGGAGAGTTCAGGAAACACCGTCGGTGGGACCAGGAAGCGGACGGGCCTGGGCCGCTGCCGGCATTTCTTCTGGCTGGGCGTCGTCTTCGACACGGTGGGCCTGACGGTGCTGTTCACCGGCATCTTCGCCGACCTGTTCTTCTACGACCTGCTGCTCTACCTGGGTGCCATCATCATCGTCTTCAGCCTCCTCTGGTGGGTCTCCTGGTACACGGGCAACATCGAACTGACTCCCGAGGAGGCCCTGAAGAGCCCCTTCCCCGTGCCCTCCGCCACCACGGTGGAAGCCCTCAGACAGGGCGTCGGCCACCGCCTCTCTTTGGCGGTCTGCGGCGTCTCCACCACCTTCCTGCGCATGCGGCGGCGGCGCACCAGGAGGATCCTTCAGAGGAGGGCTTCTCTGGATATGACCGTCACTGGCGAGGTGGAGAAACAGCTAGAGGAGGAGGCCCAGGACAAAGACGGGATGCAAGGTGTCCGAGAGAGCGGCGACGCCCAAGACGTTTGCAGAGAGGCTCTGGGCCCCCAACCTGAAACCGTCGAAAGTTCCGAGGCACCTCGCCCTGCAGGCCCTGACGCTAGTCCTCCGGGCCCCGAGGCTGGGCTGCCACGGCTTATTAAACGACCATCGGCTCATCTGGTGCAGTCCGAGTCCACTCTGTCTCCTCCGGACCAGCCCGTGCCTCCAGCCATCCTCCCCTCCAAGAGCCTGCCTGTAGTCTCCTTGGCCTCCACTTGCCAGCCTCTGCCTGTTCTTACTTCCGAGAGCCAGCTTGTCATTTCTGGGGCCTCTACGAGCCAGCCTCTGGTCACTCTTGCCTCTGCAAGCCATCTTCCTGTCCCCTTGGCCTCTACGAGCCAGCCCATGGTGCCTGTGGCCTCTCGGAGCCACTTCCTGCTGCCTGTGGCTGCACAGACCCACCTCGCGCTGCCTGTGGACTCTCAGAGCCACCCCTTGGTGCCTGTGGCTGCACAGACCCACCTCGCGCTGCCTGTGGACTCTCAGAGCGACCCCCCAGTGCCTGTGGCTGTACAGAGCCACCTCCCAGTCCCTCTAGCTTCCCAGAGCCAGCTCCAGAATCTTTCTCAGGCCTCTCAAACTCAGCCTCCACCTGTGCAGGTTTCCCAAGCCCACGCTGGGGCCACCCTGCTCTCTTTGATTCAGCTTCTGCCCACCCAGCCTTTTCAGACCCAGCCTATGGACTTGCAGGTCGGCCCAGCTGTTCATGACTTGCAGGCCCTGGATCACACCCAGCAGGCCCCCCAGAGCGGCTCTTGGGTTCAAGAGATTGCTCCAGGCCAGGCTTCATCTGCCCAGGAGTTTCATAAGCAGCCCGGGGCTCAGGCTTTTGAGAGTCTGCCACCAGCCAGCCAGAAGCTAAGTCAAGATCACCCTGACCCCACATCCCCACTCCCGGAGGCCCCAGTTCCAGCCACTCAGGCCCAGCAGTCAGTGCCCCCCGAGAGTGCGCCCACCCCAGCCTCGGAGAAGAAAAGTCACCCCCTCTAGCACAGAACCAGACCCCAGCCATCCGAGTGGCTGCTCAGGCCTCTGCCAAGTAAGTGCCTTTGGAGGAAGCTTCACCTACAGTATTCCTTAATTGTTTCCCATTCTGTGTTCTCCTCCCGATCCGTGGCTTCCTCCAGCTCTTCTGTTGGAAAACATTTAGTGGAGGTGAAGTGGCCTTTTCCTTCAGGGATTAGATCTGTTGAACTTCGGTAGGTTTTGAAAGGTAGTGCGCTGAGTGCATGAGTGCTGTTAAGGTTTGACCTCCTCCACCAGACAGTAAAATGGGTTTCTTTAGGTTTAGGGAGAAGTGGTAATTACCTTCCTTCAGGAGCTCTAAGAGGGAGAGGCAGGGGGACTCTGCAGTGTTTCTTTCTTTCTTTCTTTCTTTTTTTTTTGAGGAAGATTGGCCCTGAGCTAACATCCACTGCCAATCCTCCTCTTTTTGCTGAGGAAGACTGGCCCTCAGCTAACATCTGTGCCCATCTTCCTCGACTTTATATGTGGGATGCCTGCCTCAGCATGGCTTGAGAAGCAGTGCTAGGTCCACCCCCGGGATCCGAACCGGCAAAGCCCAGGCCGCAGAAGTGAAACATGCAAGCTTAACCACTATGCCAGTGGGCCGGCCCCTCTGCATTGTTTCTGAAACGGGATGATTTTAGGTACACGGGGACACAGCATGAAACAGCAATGAGCCCTCTAGTGGGAAAGTTACTCCCCTTTCAATTCTTATTCAGTCTTTTTGATTACGTCAAGGAGAATGCCCTTGCTTGGGGTTGGTGACCTCTGACACCTCTCTAACGCTTTGGTGGGCAACAGTGCACCCAGGTAGGGTTTGTTACCATTTGTGTTAACGAAGATGTTTCAGTGGATAACTTCTATTTACGCCAAGTCATACTGACTTTTCTTTTTACAATAGCGATGGTTGCTTTTTGAAATACTTTTATTTAAGGAATCAAACACTTTATACATGAGTCAACGTAAAGGAAAAAAATTGTATGGTGAAACTTAGAATGATTCTAAAGTTTGGAAAACATTTGATTATTTGTACTAAATAAATGGCCGTCAAACTTTCTACTAAATTGTAAGACCGTTTATGCTAACCTGTTTGGTGAATTTTATGGTTAAGGCTGTTGACGATGAATTCCGCTTAAGTCTCCAAACCCTCATCCATTGGAAAGGTACAGAAGGTCACATGAAGGTCAAAATTGATGACTCTTCTTCTCCATGGGTTAGGTGCTGTCGTAAGAGTACACACCGCTGAGTGTCAGTTTCCTGGTCTTTCTAATCCTGTTCCACAAATTCCTGCTCTTTTCGGGGAGAGGAGGAAGGGTATGGGGCAAAGCAATACTTTGGAGATTATGTTATGCTCCTTGTTGTTTAAATATTACCAACGTGCTAACCAAGAAGGTGTTCATGCTTATTTTACATTGGTTAGTTTCATTTTCTAGCGTGAGATACAACTGAATAATAGGTGGAAGTCAAACTCTTAATTTGCTTATAATTTTCTCCCACTCTCCTTTAAGAAAATGTGTAGACGCTCTCTCTCGCAGTATATACACACATATATATGCCATAGATCATCTGTAGGGGCAAAGCAGTTTGGCTGTTCTGCTACAGTGATTTTTATTTATTTCTATTTAAAAAAAAGAGCAAAACATGGGGCTGGCCCCCTGGCCGAGTGGTTAAGTTCGCGCGCTCCGCTGCAGGCCGCCCAGCGTTTCGTTGGTTCGAATCCTGGGCGCGGACATGACACTGCTCATCAAACCACGCTGAGGCAGCGTCCCACATGCCACAACTAGAAGGACCCACAACGAAGAATATACAACTATGTACTGGGGGGCTTTGGGGAGAAAAAGTAAAAAAAAAAAAAAAAATCTTAAAAAAAATAAATTAAAAAAAAAAAGAGCAAAACACAAACCATCATAATTCCAGAAGGAGAGGATTTAGTGTTACTGAAAGAGATCATTAACTTTTTTCCCATTAATTCTATTTCAGGTAATTTATGTGATTGAAAGAATTCTCCCTGTGATTCTTGAAGGAGACTTGAGCACTTACGAAGTGCCAGGAATAATGGTAAACACATATAAAGATGAAAAGGATGCAGACATTGCCATCAGAAAGCTTATAGACTTTGTTCTCTAACTCAGAAGAACAACTTTAAAAAGGAGAAAATTTTAGACAAGGAAGGAGGAGGGGTAGTCTGGTGCCTACCTAATAATTTTTAGTCAAAGAATTATTTTTTGACAGGGAGAGCCACGCAGTGCCCTTTAAGTAATTAATTCATTGAGCAGACGTTTATTGAATTTCTAGCAAGTGCCAGGCGTTATGTTCAGCAGTGGGGATTCAGAGCTAGATAAGATGCCCCTTCTGTCCAAGCGCTCACCGTTTGTCAAGGGAGACAGACGTGGGAATGACTAGCACAGCATGATATAGCAGAAGTCTCGTCAAAGTGCTTTCAGAATACAGGTGTGGACCGGGTGAGGGATTTTTGAGTTGGATCCTAAAGTGGGTGTTCATTGGGTAAAGAAGATGGGAAGAACATTCTGTGCAAAGGGAAAAGCGTCAACTAAAAGGCACAGAGGTTTAACAATCCATGGCTCCTTGAGCATACATTTGGGAAAGGAGAATCTGGTGTTACAGGCAAAGGTGCTTGGGACTCAGAGGTTGGAGAGAGAGAGAATGAGAATGAGAGAGAAACCTTTGGAGGCTTTTTAGGGAGCGTAAGCTGTGTTTGTAATTCTACCTGTGGGCTCCGTTATAAAGTAATGGCAATAGGCCAGTAATTAGCGAATAATTGCTAAGGTCTCTCCCAGTTAGTTCTAAGCTGAAAACAGACCTCTTAGACCTTAGCAACAGTTTCTAACCAAAGTGTAGGCTTCATGGGTATTCATCTTGGAAAACGCTTCCAAGTGTTTATTTACTTGTACGTAACAAATGCTGTGACACGTTTACCTATATTGAAGGTAAGATAAGTACTTATCTAAAATAGGAGTTGACAAATCTTTTCTATAAAGGCCCAGGGAGTAAATATTTTAGGCTCTGTGGGCCACAAGGCAAAATCAAGGATGTTATTTGGCTGCTTATTTAACAAGAGAGAAAACTCCTCTCCCGCCATTGGCTTGGGGAGCTTGGGGTAGGCTGTACGACTGCTTTGACTCCAGTTGCCTCAGCTGGAGTCATTCACCTGACCAAGAGCAGCTGGCCCAAAGGAAAGGCAGAGGGGCCTGGCTGTTCAGGGACACCCAGATCTGAGGGGGCCATTCTCCCCTCTCAGAGAACCTGGCCATCTCGTCTTGGTCTGCTGGCCTAAGGAGAGGTGATACGCTGAGTTTCTGACTCCCAGATTCTGATTCCACCATTTGGTACCTGGTATTGACAACAGCGGAGTCTACAAGGTGTATGTGGTGATGCTCAGGCCCTGAGCAAAGCGCTGGCCAGATGGGCAGGCACTGGGAACTCTGGGAGGAGCAGGGGTGGACACTGATGCTCCGGCTTGGTCTTTGAGGCGCACAGTGGTAGCCCACACCAATAAAGAAGTGCAGAGTGGGGAGGGTTGCTATTGGCGTCTAGTGGGTCGAGGCCAGAGGTGCTACAATGCACAGGCCAGCCCCTCACAGCACGGAATTAACCAGCCCAAACGTCATTAGTGTGAGGTTTAGAAACCCTGATCTAGAATAATGAATAATGCTCTACAGTTCATGAGGTACTTAAAGAAAAAAAATCTTATTTTGATCCTTAGATGACTCATTGCCTCTTAGATAGGAATGGTTCTTCTCCACTAGACCATGAGGATCTTATGTATCTTTCTTTCATTCATCTTTGTATTCCGGTTTTGTATCATCTTTGAATTAACACACACATGTGGGGCATTTATTAATAATAATAGCTAACATTTACCAGATGTCAATAATACACTACACACAGTGCTAAGTAATTTACAGGCATTATCTCATTCATCACGACAGTCAGAGGTAAGAACCATTATCATCTCCACTTCAAGGAAGGTAGATTTGACATCAGAGGTTAAGTAATTTTCGCAATGTCACAGAAATGGAGGAGCTGGAATTGTTGTGTAATTGATGTCTAATTTGTTATAAGATGTATATTATAGGCTTTCTTTCCCAGTTAAAGTTATTAACAAGCCATTTTCTTAAGTCTGCTAATTATTACTTGAGCTGTAATACTCTGGATCAGTCCATGGGCGTATCCTCTCATTAAAAATACTTCTATTTAAAGCTTTACTTTCAGAGAGAATGAATATCAACAACCCTTTAATTTTCTTGTTGTACTGTATGTTTATTAATATCATCTCAAATAAAAATGGCTTTTTTCTTTCCAGAACTCACCAAAGTGTCTGCAGCTTTAAGTGCCAACTTTATAAGAGCACAAATGCTTACCTTAATCTTGTTTTGGAGACGTCCATCTGGAGACCTGACCTTTCTCAGACCAGCAGACTTACCGGACTCCCTCTGCCAAGGATCCATGTTGCAGTGTTGAAGAGAGTTTTCCAGCTTCAGATAGTGAAGTTAGTTATTGCCAGGATGGTGAGCCATAATAAACTGTGCAATTCCGACGAACTTTGTTTTAGAATAAATTGGTTTTTTAAATAGACTTCTCTTGTGAAAGGGTGCCAGCATTCCAAATGGAAAATAATGTCTCCAGTACTCTGGGTGAAGATGTCAGTATGTATGGTTCCCAGAGAAATGGGCATTGAAAAATGCAACAACTTTTATTTAAGGTAACTTTGTGACCTCATTAGCTATCAGAAAGGTTAGCACAATGAATGCATTATAACATGCTACAATTTATATTTTTTATATCTTCACTTGATTTAAGTAACATCTGAATTTCCCTTTTTCCTAAGGATTTAAAATCTGATTTGACTGTGTATTTTAATGAGAATCAAATAAAATTCTTTTGGGACTGCGCTCCTCTTGTGTTCTTTCTTTGTATCAGTGGATTGTTGATGTACAAATGCTCTAATACACATATAGGGATAGTTTACTTTTGAAATTTCTAATTATGGGTAAAAGTACATTTTTTAGGTGGTATAATACTTTGGATTGAAACTTCCAAAAATTTTAACTGTTTTTATATTTCTTCCCCTTTTTCTGTTCTACGCTTCTGCATTTTTATATTTGTAATTTTAAACATTAACTCAAGGTGGAAGACTTTTTGCATTGTAGGTGTTTGGAAAAAAGAATATTTGGAAGGACATTATGCTAAGTGCAATAAGCCAGTCATAACAAGACCAATATTCTGTGATTCCACTTATATGAGATTGCTAGAGAATCAGATTCGTAGAGAGAAAGTAGATGCCGATTGCCGGGGGCTGTGGGGGGAGTGGGGAATGGGGAGTTGTTTAATGGTTATAGAATTTCAGATGAGAGTTCTGGAGATTGTTTGCACAACAAAGTGAATGTGCTTAACACTACCGAATTGTACACTTAAAAATGGTTAAGATGCTAAATTTTATGTGTTTTTTACCACAATTAAAAAAAAAATTGGGGGCTGGCCCCATGGCTGAGTGGTTAAGTTTGCACGCTCCGCTTCGGCAGCCCAGGGTTTCACTGGTTCAGATCCTGGGCGCGGACGTGACACCCATAGTCAGGCCACGTTGAGGCGGTGTCCCACATCCCACAACTAGAAGGACTGGCAACTAAGATATACAACTGTGTACGGGGGCGGTTTGGGGAGATAAAGCAGAAAAAAAAAAAAGATTGGCAACAGTTGTTAGCCCAGGTGCCAATCCTTAAAAAAAAAAAAAGAACTGTGATTAGTGAACTTACTAATTATTGGTGCTACTAACAATGCCTAGTAGCAGAAGATGGTCACATTGAAAGAAAAATAGGAACAGCTTTAATTGTCTGAATGAATATAGATGTTCATGTATTTTAAAGACACAACTTTTCTGTTTTATTTTTTCCAAATTTTAAAAGAAATATTTTTATAGGATGAACAGATTTTTAAAATTTGAATCGTTGACTAGGTGATATATTTCCATATTACAAAATTGAAAAAGCATAAAATGGCAGATGGTGAGGAAGAAGAGGTGGCATTTGAATCCTGATCTGTGTGACTCCGGGTTCCTCAGGGTGAAAAGATTCTATCCGCAAAACCAATGAAACAATTCCAAATACAGAAACATTTTAGAACTAATCTTGTTAACCTGATAACTTGCCCCTCTCCCATTTCATATGATTTAATATACACTAAATAAACATAGAAGAGTATTTGCTTTTTAGTCTTCTACACAAAAAGGGAAAGAAAATTGCATTTTGACAAGTGCAAAATATCATAAATTATATTAGCGTGTAATTAGAGACTTCACGTGGTATAGCGAACGCTTCCAGAACCATCTTAAGCTTGACTGTGCTGGACAGAATGGCACAAGGACCCCTACTTAGGTTAACAAAGTGATACAGGACTTTTGGAAAAGCAGAAATGGGCAGTAAGTGAGCGCTTAACTCATTATTTCAGCAGGAGCCTGGTTTGATCAGTCTGAGAATACTTCTCTGGTTCTTGTTTCTGAGTTGGGCTGAAAGGGGTGAGCTGCTGGTGGAACTGTGAGCTGGGTGAAGGCATACTGCTCTAGAGCCTAATGCTCTTTCTACTGGGCCGTTTATATCCTACAGGATGTATTTGCCATACCATAGTTAAATGATTTTGTGTGGAGGAAAATTCCCAGCACCATTATGGGATTATACCATGGCGAATTAACGTTAAATAATATATTACTTGTTCTGAAACGTAATATCCACTCAGCTTAGATTTTCTGTACCTTCATGTCTTGCTTTGCAAAAGGACCAATATAGAGTAATCTGAATACAAAGAAGGAAAAGGAATGAATATTTGCATTACAAAAGGATGACCAGACAATCATCCATTTATTTCAGGGTTCCCATTTGGGCTCTTTTCTCAATGGATCCTCTTCATCTCAGCCACCACCAACCTCCTCCAAACGACTGTCACCCACCCCTTGACTGTAAAACTGAAATGCCAGCAGATACGCCCTTTTCTACTCTTGCCATGGGGTCTTACACCTACTTTTCTCCCTGCTTTCAAACCACTCTCTCTGGCTCACAACCTCCTGATCCTTCCCCCTTAGCGAGTGATTCTTAGATTTCAACTCAGTTACCACTTTCTCAGGGAAACTTTCTTGAAAGGTAAATTCTGCCCGTTACAGAACCACATAGCACCATGTGATCTTCAAAGGACTTAATACATTTGTAAATTTATATTTAATCGGTGTCTGTTTCTCTCACTGGATGACAAGCTCCATGAGGCCAAGGACCATTATTGTTGTTTGCTGACCACTTATCCCCAATGCCTAGCACATGGCCTGGTGCCTAGGTGTTCAATAAATATTCATTGAAAAGATGAATATAGCTGTTAACTACTATTAGATTGAAGCGTGTAGGCAAAGATAAAACTGAGGTTAGGTGGCCCTTACCAACTGAAGACCAATTAGAAACATAGATAAAGCAGATTTCTGAAGTTGGCCCAATAAAACAATAGAAAATATGTCATTGATTCAGAATTTCAGTCAGATACAGTTGCCTTCTGAGGAGTTTTGGGGAAAAATTAAGGTACTTTTCTCTGTCGCGTTCTTCGGATAAAAATCTGATAAACATTGCAAATAGGCTTTAAACGCTTGAGGCTCTAGTGTATTACCACCATTGTTTTCCAACAGAATAAAATGGGATTTTTTTCCTATGGTCCCCCAAGAATATTAAAGGTAAAAATGGAAACTTTATGACTGCTTACAATATAATTTTATATGTCGTGTTTTACTTTTTTGTTCTCTAATTGTTTCAAATATGTTTTGTGTCTCCAGTTGGACTAAAAGTTTACGAAGGCCATGCTTTATACCAGTGGTTCTTAATTTTGGCAATATTGTTCCCAGGGGATGTTTGGCAATGTCTGGAGACATTTTTGCTCATCACAATGGGGAGGAGAGGAATGCTACTGTCATCTAGTGGGTAGAGGCCAGAGATTATACATTTTGTATATAAATACATATTAAAGATCTACAGTTGAGATCTTGCATTAATGAAGGGAGTTTTCATAAAGATAACTGACTCAAAATAATTGTTGATTCTTTCTGGAAAGGAGAAAGAAACAAATGGGATATCTACTATTGATTTTGCTCTCTAGAAATTGTTGATCTTGGGCCATCCCAGTGGCGTAGTGGTTAAGTTCTTGCATTCTGCTTTGACAGCCTGGAGTTTGAGGCTTCAGATCCCGGGCACGGACCTACATACCATTCACCAAGCCATGCTGTGGTAGCGTCCCACATACAAAATGGAGGAAGATGGGCACAGATGTTAGCTCAGGGACAATCTTCCTTAAGCAAAAAGAGCTGAAGATGTTAGCTCAGGGCCAACCTTCCTCACCAAAAGAAAGAAAGAAAGAAAGAAAGAAATCGTTGATATGGATCTTCCCTATCATTCAGCCATTTGAAAAACATTTGTTAAGCATTAATAGTGACACTTATCTACAGCAAAGATTCATTGAAAGCCATTTGGTACAAAATGACCTCACTTCTTGACATTGAGTTAGAGGAGGGCACCTGACCCAAACTTGGCCAATGAGAGATTCTTTTCTGGTGTCTTAAGATATCCTTGGATTCTTAGAACAAATTCTCCTTTTCTGCTTCAGTTAACCTGAGATAATTGCTGTTACTTTCAAGCCAAGAGGATTTAACCAACAGAACTACTCCAGGGATGACTGTAAAAATCGTCTCTAGGGGAAGACTGCTCTTTTGGAAAAACAGTTTAATGGGCCTTCTGGGTATATGAGAGTAAAGCAAAAATTCATTCCGGAATGAAGAAGCTCACAACGATTACGAGCAACTGCAACGAACAGTGATGTAAAAGGATGACTACATTGTGGGCAAGGCCACGTCTTTGCAGGCAGCACGTTAATGCTTGTGTGCTTTGTGGTTGTTGCTTTTGGAGGAGGGGTGTTTATTTTCTTTGATTAGAGCTGGAGACAAAAGGAGAGAGGACTCTGGGGAAGGCAAGACTGGATAAAGGAGGCTTTTATCATGGCAAAACGAGCTGGCCAGGGAACAGGTGACCGAGTGGAGCATCCTCAGTGAAGAAACAGGACCAAGGAACTCCAACAGTGAATGATGCTGTTTGGTTTTAAGATTTTCCTTGTATTATGCTCATGCTTCCATTGAAAAAAATTTTAACACGGAAGCAGGTCTTACCTGTGCTTTGGGAAAATAAGGAAGTAGCTGTGCTCAAGCTTAAGGAGAAGATATTTCTGGGAGTGTATATTGCCACAACCACTCTGGAAAGTTCTTTGACTGTGCCTTGTATACCCTCCAAGTCAACAATTCTAACCTAGAAAAATTCTCACACACATTATTCAGGAGACTATACAAGAATATTCACAGTATTGTACATAATAGTGTGTGTGTGGGGGAAATAATCTAAATATTGGTGATGGGAAAATGGATATATAAATCCATGGTATATTCATACAATGGAATGCTATATGGCAGAGAAAATAAAACACAGTTACAACAGGGATGGATTTTAGAAGCATAAGGTTGATTGAAAACAAGCAGCAATATAATGCAGCATGGAAATAATTTTGAAAGACAAGCAAAAGTGTATAGTATATTGCTTAGGAATATATATATATATATATTACATAAAGATAAGTTGAAATGACAAAAAAATCAGGATAGTGATGACCTCTGGGAGGACGCAGGGAGAGGGTGGCATCTGGGAAGAGCACACAGGAAGCTTCAGTAGCACAGGTTAATGTTCTGTTTCATAAATTGGGTGGTACATTCACAGTGTTCACTTTGTTTTATAGCTTACATTAACATATATTCTTTTGTACGTCAGACTTTTTTAAAATGAAAGAGAAAAGTAATTGTCAAACCGCTTGACAGTACAGAATTAAACTT